TTCCCGTCTCCTCTCCCTTCTCCCCGTTGCTCGCAGCACACACACAGAGGAGGCATTGACTTGGTGAGTGATGGCCACCACAGCTGCCTGTGTGCAGGAGGAAGGATGGAGCCAGACCCTCCATCCCTTCTGCTCGACTCAGCACACCGTGTGCTGGGAAAACGCATGTGGGAGTTCAAATGACCCCTGTCCCTGCCCATGGCCTGCACTGGCTGCAACCCCCAAGGGACTGCTCCTGGGTGAGAAAAAGCATCGTTCTTGAGGAACCCACCCCAACACAGACCCCAAAGGTAACTATGTGCTTAGAACACCTCGCGCTGCAGGCTCAGGCATCCCCCCATGAGCCGCCAGGGAGCTGTGCTCCCAGCACTGATGCTCACCCCAGTCTGGGGGTCACTGCAGCACCCAGGTGGTTTCTGGGGTTGTTCAAACCACCCTGAGCAGAAAACAAAAGCAAAACGGGGCCGAGCACAGGAACAGGCCTGGCACGAGGCGGCTGCTGTCGCTGTGAGTCACGGTGCCCTCTTGTCCCAGTTTCACCCACCCCATCATGGGGCGTCACTTGGCCCAGCAGAAAACACGGCACTCCCAGCTAAGGAAGCACGTTGGCAGTGTTTCCCTCCCCAGGACACTCAGCCTGGCTCCCTGCTTGCTCCTCAGGCACAGTCCCCCAGCAGCTATACAAGACACCAGCAAACCTCACTCACAGGAAGCACGCTGCAGCACCTGGTTTTAAATGAAAAACCAGAAACAAACAAGAACCCAAACCCTCCTTTCCTGCAGTGCTTTCAGCCCCATGACAACCTGTGATCCTTCTCCTTAAGCAGCAGCTTCTGGTTCACCCCCAGCCTGGTGAGATGGGCAAATCCACTCACAAAGTGCAGGCACAAAATCTAACTGACCTACCCTCTTTGTGCCAGGCCAGGGCTGGGGCTTTGCTAGTCCCGAGGTAAGAATTATCCTGATGGGCCAGGCTGGCTCCAGCTCATCTGCTCTTGCCTCCAGCAGCAGCACGGGGCCATCAAAGCCACCAAGTAACACCTCAACAGGTAACTATAAATTAGACTTTAACAGATACAATTTTAAACAGTGATTATTCACATTTAAACCTGATTTTGATGTAAATGGCAGGATCTGGTTGCTGCACTGGCCTTTCCCCTGCTCTCAGCTCCACTGGGTGAAAGGCCCCTGTGGGTACCAGCAGGGCCAGGGCAGCAGCTCCTGACTTGGCTTCCTCCAGGAGCCACAAGGCAGAACCCTGCAGTGTTAAGGCACAAAAACAGAGAGGTAAAACACACACAGAGGCTCTAAGCTGAATTCCTCCTCTCGTAAGCACCTCCAGATGCCCAAGCTGTATGGTGTGCACAGTGCCTAAGTTACCTACAGAACTGGTGTTGTCTCCCTCCACCCAAATGGGGTAATAATAAATCTACAGCAAATAACTGCAGCCCACACCCCAGAACTGTTGGGTCACCTCCAGCTGTGCAGTGGGGTTGCTGCACTATTTTAAGGTCAGCTAAATTAAATCCCAGCCATCCTCCCAAGGCTTTAGCCATGGTTCTGTGCCCTGACTGCCTCCAAGCAACCGAGGCACACACAAATGAGCACTAGTGGACCATCAGATTTTATGCATGATGGGTGTTAGCTAAACTTTGCTCTTACTAGAGGGAAATGCCACTGAGTCAAGTCAGAACTAAACCTGAACAAGAGAAAACATAAATCAATGTTTATGAAAAGCTGCTGCTTTCAATGAGAACCCAGCCTGGGACAAAGGCAGGGTGACAGGACCGACAGCGTATGTAGGCTACACGCTTGTAAGTGTGCTACAGCAGGGAAGAGGCAAGTTCTTGCTGCACTTCGAGCAGCTGACTGATTTCTGAGAGAGAAAGAGCTCAGGTGAGAGCCACTGTCACAGGACTTCATGAGCCTCCACCAGCAGAGTGGGAACAATCTCCAGCTCCATGTTTCATGCCACAGCTGAATGGACTCAAGTGGTTACAACCCCTTAAAGGCTTGTTCCAGGAGAGCTGAAGTACAGTTCAAAAGTCAAACTGTTGGTTAAAGTCTGGAAATACACAACTGCCTACGCTGCTGTTCTCAGCTTTAACAATCTTTTTATTATCCTTAAAGAGATCTGCTACTTTCCCAGTAATTTATTACAAGGAGACATGATCAAGAGGAACAAACAATTCCAGTGGGGAGCTCTTTGAGTAAAAGAGGGGAGGAAAAGAGATTGTACAAGAGGGAAACCAAGTCACTGTTCAGCCAAGCGGAGAAAGCTGGGAAGGTAACTTTGAGCACAGCAGCTCTCCCTCACCCACCAAGGTCTCTACTACAATTACGGGCTCCCGAGCGCTGCTGGGGCTGCAACTGCTTCACTGGACACGTAGGAGACAGCTCAAGCAGACAACTTGAGGTCTGATGAGCAGATGATCCTATACTAAAACACTAGTTAACATACACACCAGTCAAACTGAAACTCCGTCAAGGTACTGGTCAAGTGCAGGCGAAAGCTCCTGCTCCTCCAGCGGCACTTTTTACACCGAAACCCACGTATTTGCAGGTTTGATGTTTGAGGAATGAAGTCAAGAGGGCAAAAGCACATGTGATGTTCCCGCTGCTCCTCCAAGTGCCCTCGTCAGAGCCTGCACTCACCAGGCCTCAGGGGAGATAAGCTCATGTTAGGTGAGGTGGGGCTCAGCAAGGACTAGCTTTAGTGGGTGAAGCTTTACAGCTGTGGCTCTGAGCACAGAACTGCCTCAGTGCTGGTGTTCATCCCTCATACTGCATCAGCCTTCAGGGAATACCACACGTTCTGAACCAGCAGCAGAACAGCCCCTGTCCTGAGCATCTTTCATGAAGTACTTTGAGAGCGTGGAGCTGCTGCAGTGCAGCTCAGGAGCTGGTCAGCACAGAACTCACTCCCCAGGCACATTTCCAGAGTCACAGAAGTGGAAAAAATTAATAATCCAACACTGAGTCTCTATAAACTTCCAACCCCAGCACACACCTGCTATTGTCCCACCTGTTGACACAACAAACACATCTTTCTTTGTTGTGAACTCCAGCTATCGCCCTGCAGTGACTCACTCCATCCTTACATTCACTCCTGTGGACTCACTGTCACCCAAGTCACACAGCCCAATTAAACCTCAATTTATTATTTTTTTGTGTAGTTAGATAGAGTTATTCCAGCAAAAACCTTATCTAAACTGTGTATCTGTCATTTCAGGAAGGCAGCCTTGATTAACAAGCAAACACATGGCATTAGCAGCTTCAGAAAGGAGCAAGTGAGATCAGGCACCAGAGGTTCTGCCGCATTGCACGAGGCCTCCTACATGGCTACTCCCTGAACTACAGCACCACAAGTACAAGGCCTGAGAAGCAGAGAGGTTAGCCAAGTGGATCGAGTGAACAGATGAGGCAGGTTTGAATGGCAGGATCTTGATTAGAGGAGCAGGTCAGAAATCCAGTGATGTAAATCAACAGCTCACCAGGACCAGGCATCACAGCACAGACACCAACACCGAGTGCTCTTATCCTAGCATTGCTAAAATGTCTACACAACAGGGGGGCAGCAAGGAACAGTGCAACAGCTCACAAGAAAAGAAGGGTTATGATCACTCAGCTGGTATCTGGATGCAACGTTAACATTTGAATGAATGGCTGAGGAGGAACACGATTTACAAGCTACACTCTTTGAAGAGTGTATTTAATTCCTCTTTTTAAATCTAAACCATTCTTTATGGGTAGATGTAATAAAACAAAGAGGAAAGAGCACCTACCAATAGAAACGTTGGTCTGGGGCTGGGCTGAGCTCCCTTTACGTGCCCACATCAGCGGCAGAGTCCTTGGGCAACGGAAGTCCTGGAGCAGGAAAGGAAAACAGGCACAAGCAGCAATGCAGTCAGGTACTGAATGTGTTTAAGGAACTTCTGTTAGTCCCAAGACTAGAAGGCACAGAGCTCACAAAACCCAGATGACAGCAAGACTCAGCATCAGCTCCCTGGGAGGGCTGCACACCCACTGGATGCCAGTCTGAATTCCAGAATCACCTGTGCTACCAAGGAACACCATGGGCAAACAAGGACCGAGGCAAAGGGATCAGCACAATGCGGTGTTTGGGTTGTGTTGTTTCATAACCAGCAAATCCACTCAGATGTACTTTTAAAAATGTGTTTGTCCAGAAAGTTCTTGGAATTTATTACACACATTTAATAACAGCTGATACTCAACATTCAAGTGTTGAACTAAGTTTACAAGCACTTTAGCATACAATGTATACTTATGCTAAGAAACAAAGAATTCAGCATATAAGGAAGTGCAGAAGGAAGCTACTTTAAAGATCCCCCCTTCCATCCAGTATCTACATAAACCTGTTGTATTTTAAACCCCTACATGATGTCAAGTAAAAAGACTAATCAAATATCTACACTTCACTGTGCATATCATGTCTACTTCAGATGCAGGACAGAAATTTCCAAGAGCACGTTCCATTCCTCCTTCCAGAGGAACCTCAGACTTCAGAATTGACTGGATTTCAGAAACAGAGCTTGAAACTTTAAAAGAATCCAACAGCAGCAATTCAGTGCGTTTCAAACATGGTTATGGGAAGGCAGCGAGGCACCAGGACTCAGACCAGCGTGGACAGATCTAAAGCTCCTCAGCTACATTACTCAAACCTGCCATGAATTCTGTGCAAGACCTTGAAACACTTCACTTGCTCCAATGAGCAATTTCCACCAGCAAATGTTCTGTTTGTTTGCTTCAAGCTTATCCATCCTCACAGAGCTGACCGGGTGCAGACACAACAGGAACATCGCTGAATTAACCAAGGGCTGTTTCTGCTGCCCCAGGGCAGTTAAAAACCAAAAGCCCCAGTTTTTCAGAAGCCAGCATACTGGATCAAATACTTTTTCTTATCTGTGTATTCATTAACCCTGTACAAAAGAAAGCTGATTAGCAAATGTAAATGTTCATATAAAAATAGCCAACATCTGTTTAAATTTAGAAATTTATTTTGTTTAATCCACAAGCTTTATATAGCTTTAGTTAAAAAAACAAAAACAAAAAAAACAGTGAAAACATGACAATATCCAAAGTTTGGGTTCCTCAGCCTTTCAAAGAGCACTCTGAAAGTTGCTTATACCATTGAGAAGAACCGTAACGAGACAAGATTTATGAGTGGGGCAATGACAGCTCACAAACAAAATTCATGGAACTGAAGGAATTTTTTCTGGGACTGCTGATCATGGAAACTGCCCTTTAAAAAAAAGAACATAAAAATACAAATGAAATTCCAGTGTTCCAAATTAACATCAGTATAAACCCACAGTGTCCTGGTAAACAACATGCTTTCATTTATGTACCATTCTATGTTGCTACTCCTGATACGCTTTCATGGAGACTACACAGGCAACAGTAGAGAGCATTAAAAGATCAGTACTTCCTTGGTAATTCTGCAGTGGTTTTACTTCTGGGCAAGCTTACAAACCACAGAGGTTAGTAGCATAACATAAGTGGATACAAAAGAAGTCAAATGAGACCCTCACTAAAGGCTTTGTTGAATTTCAAAGAAACTAAGGGAACCGATGGTCATGTTTAAAACCTTCAAAACAAAATCCTACTGCTTCTAAAAAGTCTCACTCTAAATGAAATTATGTTGACTGCCAATGAAAGAATGTCACTAGTACACTGTGGACACCTCTTGTAATGTAAATCCATGCCCTTTGTACATGGTGAACCTCAACCTAGCAATTATTACAACAAATGTTATATTCTAAAGCTCAAACACATTTAGCAATTTGAAATTGAATTCTGAGTACAAACCAAATAAAATGTACATTATATCAAAGGATTCGGCCTAGGATGGTGGGGACACTTGCGCCTTCCTCATCGACCTCAGTGCCTTCTCTCGCAGGTGCTTTTCTAGATCATCAAGGTTGTCTTCTGGTTCACTTTCTGTTTCCTTCAAATAGAGAAAGCATTTCTTCACACACTGAGAGCCGACCCAGGCTGCAGCCCCCCACCCCGTGTTGCAAATCATCCCCTAGCACCAAGAGACACCAAGCTCCATTTCTGAAACAAGTTTAGGACATGAAGAGCATGGTGTATCCACCCCCATCTATCCTCTTATACCGGACTCTTAACAAGGTACCAAATTCCTACCTTTTTGGGTTCTGTCTCAGCTTCCTGGTCGTCCTGTGCTGAGGTGGTATCTGCTGCAGCCACAGCAGCAGCTGCTGCAGCCACTGCAGCCTTCTCCTTCTTATGTTTTTTGTGTTTCTTGTGCTTTTTATCCTTTTTATGCTTCTTATCCTTCTTTTTCTTCTTCTTTTTCCCACCCCCTTCTTGATCTGAATTCTGTAACAAACAATTCAACAGGTATTACAACTCAGTCCTCAGCTTTGAAAAATTCATGTTACAAAGTCTTTTTAAGAAGTTTTAAATTATTAAATTATTCCAAGGATTATTTCCCCCACCCCATGAATAACCTCAGAGGTGTTCAGCAGCTAAGTCTTCATGAAAGTAACTTGTCACATAACCCAAAACACCACTGCTTTTATTAACAAACAAGTACCCTTGCAGGTGATGGGCTCTGAGTTGGGCTTTTAGCCTTTTTTTCAGGTGACCAGTTTGCAGAAGGAGAACGAGACCGAGTGGGAGATGGAGGTCCTTGATGTTTTTTGGGTGCTGGCTCAGGTGATCCTGATGCAGACCGTGATGAAGACACCCGTCTTGCAGATCGCGGACTTGGCGTTGGAGCCCTTCAAAACACAAGAGCCACAATTAAGAGATGTTAAGAGGCAAACCAAGAAAATAAAGATTACTCCCTTTCTTTTCATATGACTAATTTATAACCTCACTAAGTCAAGAGAAAAGCAACACTATTTTTTCATCCAATGGAGAAAGAGTGCAAGATATCACATGCAGCTACGTTGTCGTTCTGAACAAATTAAGAGGCCAGCAGCACTTTTGACTGCCTGCTTGTAAGAACAGCAACACACCAAAATAAAAACATGTAGAATTAGAATTTTAGCAGTTTATCTTGGATGACCACTTCTGAAATGGCTTTGAGCTAATGAGAAGCGTTACTGACTTTTAAACAAAGCTAGCTACAAAACTCACAAACTTCTTTCCGCCTGCTCAATCCCAGTGCTTTGCTGTGCTATGAAAAGACCCCTCTCACTCTGCATAAAGCCTCTTCAATGCCCTTCCTGTGCTGCACTTTATTCTAGTAGATGCTTCCAACCTAATAAGCTTCTGAAAATCAGCATTATGATTGTGGAACCCAACAGAGCCACCAACGCTTGAGGAACCTAAAGACATGAGAACCTTTTTATCACAATTCTTTGCTAGTCTCAGTGCATTAAACCAAAGAAAAAAAATAAAACCCTCACAAAACCACCACCACCAAAGATAGATTCTTTTACTTTGTCTTCTTAGGTTCTGGCGTTCTTGAAACCCTCCTGATGGGTCTAGTGCTTGGAGATGGAGACTGTCTTCTCTGGGGTGAAGCTGAAGCTCCCCTTCGCGGTGGTGGTGGGCTTGCAGAGGTATGAGAAGCTCTAGGCCGTGGTGAAGGTGAATGCCTTTTGTTTTGTGGAGGAGAACGTGTTTCCCGATTGGACCTACTGGGAGGAGATCCCTTCCGGTGCTTGGAAGACTGCGAAGGAGAACGCCTTTTAGCAGTGGGTGAGCACCTCTGTTTTGGTGGTGGTGAATGGGAGACTCTGCGTTTGGACTGTGGAGAAGGGGATGCCCTCCGTTTAGGTGGGGGAGGAGGAGAGGCCGTTCTTCTCTTCGGCGGTGGTGAAGGAGAATATCGCCTCTGTATTGGTGGAGAGTATCTCCGTGGAGAAGGTGAGCGTCTGCGTGGGGGTGGTGATGGAGACCTATGGAAAAAAACAGATGTTCAGGTGCCACATGAGCATGTGAATTAGTTACAAGTGCCTTGTGGGGAAAAAGAACTCTAAAAACCCTTTAAAACTTCATTTAATACCAAACTTTCAGAATCACCTGAATGGGTGTTATTCAGTATCTGCTACAGCAATCAAATGATAACCAGGCCACACACCTACCACATCCAGTCTCACCAGCAAAACTACACTCCCCTCATTAAGCTGGGAATCAGGGAACTGCTATCCTGGCATTTCGGTTTCCATGGTGGCATTTCTATTTCCATGTCCTAGCTGGCAGTCAAAAAAGCAGAAGCCCCCACTCTGTGATACAATGCAGCACATTACCTTCGGCGAGGCAGCGAAGGGGAGCGCCGGCGCCGGGGTGGAGGGGCAGGGGAAGGGGTGCGTCGCCGCCGTGCCGGCGGGGGTGAGGGGCTTCTCCTCCTCCTGCTGCAGAGAGAAAAGGATGGCTCAGTAACGTTTAACATGAGATTTATTTCTGTTCTGCTTTCACTGTACAAGTGATTCTGTGCATGCACTTCAACATGAGAGTCTATTAGAACTACGAGTGGAAAAAATCAAAACCACCTCTTTGTTGTAATGCAGTGATGTGCCTGCTAGATCCCACCCCAGGAAAGAACCTGGAATGCCCAGCTGTGTCCAGCAGCACAGAACTGCCCTCAGCAGCAGTCTTGCTGTTGGACCAGATTAGACAGTGTGAATCTGTACTCTTGACACAGCCTGTATCTATGGCTCTGAGATCCAAAATTACTTATTGAAATAGAGGGAAAAAAAATCAAAGTTGTTGCTAAAGTGCAGCTATCTGGATTATGCATAAAACAAGGCATTTTCTGCTCTGCAAGGTTTACAGCAAAATTCAGCGAGGAGAGATTTTTCATCAAATACAAAATATTTCTTCCATTTGAAAGTCCAGGAAAGTATTTTTTTTTAAAGTAAAACATTCCTTTTTCAAAAACGCAATTAAGACAAAACGACTGGATAAAGCACAAAACAAGAGTAATGAAAACGCAAAGCAGCTCAGCTATATAAATTATTTGATTTCAAATACACTGGTGGTTGTTCTCCAGGGCAATGAGTTAAACCTTTTTTACAGTTAAGAGTTTGCTCAAAAAACAACTTTTATGATGCGAAGACCCACCAGCCTTGAAATGTCATGGCAGTCCTAATTAAACGTGCATTCACACAGGAGGCCCTAGGTGAATTTAGTATGCTGCAGAACAAATTAAGATCTTTGAATTCGAGTGTTTTACTTAGAATTGTTTGACAAGATCCATAAATAGAATGGTTTGCATTTGTAGTAGTCATCCTTAATCTCATACATCATGCATGCTGTGACTATATTCTAGCTAGGTCTTCATTAGGCTGCTCTCAATGGTCACTGTATCAGATTAATAAACCCATCAAGCACCCAGCTTCCTGCACCTCCCTGTATTCTGTGAGCAAACTATTTCACAAATAGAAGTGTTAACAATACTTTCTACACAAGAGAAAATAAAGTAGGTGTTCACTACTAGTCTACTACCATTAGTAGTTCCAAGTATGTAATGTATTGAGGAATGAGACTTTTGAAAATGACAATTATCTGCGACCCAGAAGATCAAGATCTTAAATAGTTTGTTGCAAACGTATGGAATGCTGTTAGCCAGAACGCCAGCAGCAACAAGAACATAAGGTGACGCCCACCCACTCACCTTACAACCCCGTGCAAATGGAGTAAGAAACCTCCTGAAGAGTACAAGCACTCAGCTGTTTTCAGGCATCAGCAGATGCTAATAACATTGGTGTGACTAGCTGTTACAGCTTATGTGAATTAACACAGTGAGAAATGAAGGAAACAGAGCAGGTGCTCCTTAACATGTTAAGGAATCACCCCAAATTTCCCTCACCTTACTATGAGTGTGCAAGTCCAAAGGACAAAGGATGGCAAGTACTTATCTATGACAAAATAAATGAGAGTTTATCTAAATGATATTCCATATGCAAATCCTATTTAACAGATTCATTTCTAACCAACCTTTTCATCACTGGTGATTGCCACCTCTTTTCCATCTGCATCCTGATAGCAGTGGAGGAAAAACAAAACAGAACAAATCTATCTGCCATGTATTTGAGGCAAGAATGAACACATTCAAATGACGTTCACAGTAATTCTTACCAAACAAGCATAACAGAAATGCAACCTTGAAACAAGGTTGGGCACACTGGACACAATTCTGCTGTGTATTTTGTTGACAGTTGCATAGCAGAAACAGCAGCATTAACTGAACAGTTAGAAGACCTTGGTTATGCTCAACTTAAGAGAGAATTACCGAGGGGAGGATTCCTTCGGTCGCCTGCGTGGAGACGGTGATGGACTGCGTGAATGGGAATGGCGTCGGCGCCTACCAACTTCCCCATTCTTCACATTGGATCTTTTAGGTCTTTCCTCTTCAGATGAAGATGAAGAACCAGAATCTATAAATGTAGAAGAATCACTCTCTGGAAAATGATTCTCACACTATTAACACAGCTGCTGTTAGGGTTATACTGCAGTTTAAACTACTAACCTCCTCTCCCACAAAATTAAGAAGTCTCTACTTAAAAGCAGCGCAACCAAAAATGTTATTTCAAGTGACAAATATATCCATCAGAGCTGAGGAAAAACATCTGCAGCAACTTAATTTGCCACATAAAATTTGACTAGCCAGGTAATTTAAAAGATGAACTGCAGTTACTTATAAAAATATTAGTGAACAAAACCCCATACCAAGCCCAGGTTAATTTACTGATCTCAAGTATAAAAGAGTCCAAAATATTAGGAAACAACCTATTGCAACAACAGATTAGGTAATCCACAGCAAACAACATTGGTGTATGTCACCAAGAGTTTAAAAATGCAACTTTATCAAAATCCATTAACAAGAGAGATATCCTAACTTATAGAAGTTATACTTCATTTCTCTTGAGCAGCAGCTGAAGTGACTTCATTACAGGTGATAAATCTGTAACTAAGTTTTGCAACAAAACTGCAGTGCATAATTTTAGTAAGTATTTGAACCTAACTGCTAACTACTTCCCGCACAAGTAAACTAAAACAAATGCAGTTTTAGGAAATCTCTATCATCCATACCAGATGAAGACTGTTGGTTCTGCCTTCTGTACTGACGCCTCTGTTGAACAGAGTCCGCTGCAGCCATTTTACCTCCTTTATCTTCTTCTGAAAAGGTACATGCATGGACAGAATATTTAAATCAAATATACAAATGTGCCTTATTCACACAGAACCAAAGTCATGCTGAAGTAGATCATCAAACAATCTCCTTCCCCCTCCCCCAGTCTCAAGATAACATTGAGGCTCGAAGACACTTTGGCTGAGCTTTTTTTTTCCCCAAGAAAGCTTGGATATAAAGGTCTGAGTGATCACCTTTATATGTCTGAAAACTCTTGCTTTGAATGTTAGTCTTCCAAGAGGGTTCAGCAGTTTAACACTGCCTTTATTTGACAAACACCTCTGATTAAAAGCCCCACACAAAACCAGCATGGAAAGGCAAGAGCCATACCGGATTCTGACAGTTCTGCTTTCCTTGGTTTTGGTGCTGGCGAAGGAGACTCTCGTTTTTCAGTACTCTTATGTTTGGGTGCTGAAAGACAAAGTCAAAAATAACTCAGTTGCAGCTCTTAACATTCCTGCATGCTTTTCTGTCAGACAAACTGCACACACCATCATTGAGAAAACAAAAGCACAAAATGATAGAGCTGCTGGGATACAAGTTTTATTTCATCACCTGATGCTCTGCTGGGTGAAACGGAGCCACGGCTTTTCCTTGCACGATTTGACTGCTGGGGCGTTGGAGACCTGCGTGGTTTTGGAGGTGGGCTTGCTGGTGGGGATGGTCTGTGCCTCCGCCGAGGAGGGCTTGCAGAAGGAGAGAACCTACGCGTTTTACGAGGGGGACTTGACGCAGTCCTTTTAGGTGGTTTCTTTGGCGGTGATCGGGAACGTGAAGAGGAGGAGGAAGAGCTACTGCCAGATAAGGATGCTGATGACCGTCGTCTCCTGTAAATCAAAGGTAACATTAGATTCTGACTAGCCAGCTTAAACGTTTGAGCATGAGCACAAAGTTACATTTGTTTGCAAGCACATATATATAGAGCCACATACAACAGCACTTCTGAAACACGGACTGCCTTCAACACTTGGTTTGTGGAAGAAAAAATAACAACCAATCTTTCACAGTTAATTGTTAGTGTTCCCTTTGTTTGCCTTCTGTCAATCTACAGGCTACAACTAAGCTTTTGTCCTGGAGGCAATTAGTTTTGTTTGGGCTCTCTGACTTTTGAATGGTTAAGAGAATTCTCCGTGTTAGCACATGTGACTGAATGATCTTCACAACAGATCTCTTTTAAGAGTTTAGTGTGCAAGTACACTAAGAAGTTTTTTACCAAGAGGTACAAATTTCAGACAACTTAACAACTCAGAACCCATCTCTCCATTCTGGTGGTTTAGTCTGTCATCTTTACATTGTAATTTTAAAAAGGCAGGGCCTCTAGAATTCTGCGGCAAAATTTGTGGCAAGTTCTGTTGCAATTGTGTACCTGCAGAATCCACCTTTGGCTGCAGAATTCCTGAGAACCTGGAAAAAAGAAACCCTACCTTGAGTGAGATAAACATTTGCTGAAAGGGAGCTCTTGTACATCTTGCAAAATACATGTTCGATGCTTTCCACAGTTTTCCCATTTGTGTGAAATGAACATATTTATAAACTCAAGGAAAAAATATAACACAGTCATCACCTTGTCAGAAAAAGGAAGAACTGTTGCTTCCTGGAAAAAGAACAACTGCTGTACACAGGAAGCATCGTGTTAATTCTCTTCCTATGAAGAGGGTAAGAATCTAGTCTTCCTATGAAGGCAAATGTCTGTTTTGACACTGCCAGAAGTATACAGTTTTCTCTGCAAGAGAACTCAGATCATTGCTACCAGAGCAATTGCTTATGCTGTCATAAATGTAACCTCCAGCACCAGACCTTGAGAATTTTTTTTAAGAACATGAAGAGGAAACACATTTCACATCAAAATTGAATTTTGATTGTAATTTTATGTGATAGAAATGGAAGTCGTAATTAAAAAACTCCCAACAAGGCAAATCCAATTTGTCCTGATTTCTTCCCCAGGCAAAGGGAAAAAAGAAAAGCGTTCAGACTTAAGCAAAAGTGTCATGTCAATCTACACTGAAGCTATCCAGAGCCGTTGGAAAGTTATTCTGAAAATGGCCCTTTTCAAAAAGGTGGAACTCTCATCACTATTTCAACTCAAAAGAAATTGTTTCACAGATACTTTTATGTTTCCCCACTACACACTTATGAAATAAGACACTGCAGATTTACATCACTCAAATCATATGCCTGACAGTATGAGACAAACAAGGGATCTTTGAGAGCACACATTCCTCACAACTAATGTTCCCCTTCAGCTTTCAAGGTGTAACATTTTCAGTTCTCTCGAAGAAAGGGAACCTTACCGCCTCACAGGGGATCTGCTTCTTCTGTGCCTGGGGGGGGGAGGCATTCGCCTTGGAGGGCTCCTTCTCCTTGGAGACGGCCGTCGTCTTGGGCTTGGTCGCCTTCTAGGGGAGTAAGACCTGTCATAATCAGAAATTCAAATGAAAAGCAACTATCTAATTTTCAGATTTGAGGACATTTATCCTCAGGGCACTGAGCGGGAAGTTGCTTTTCTCCAAGTGCATCACATTGAAGTAGCATTTAGATTGTGATGCACATATTCAGACACTTGAAGTTCAGTGCTTGAAGTTTCCCAACACCTCTCTACTAAATAGTAAAACAATTCAAAAGAGGAAAGTTCAAGTAATTACACCTTCAGCACCAAACCTATCTCCTAAAAATGCTACACAAGTCTCGCCATCTAACAAGTGCCATACTCAGCAGTAAGCACCCCATTCCTCCTCCAGTCAGCGCTAGTCACTGTGAGCATGTTCTAATGAACCGACAAGAAGAAAACAACACCCAAACACATTTATCCACTAAAAATATCTTCCTCATTTGGCCTAAAACATCCATAGCTCAACTCCCCTAAGAACATCACTATTTACCTGAGAACATTACATTAAGTGGCACCTTCAGAAGAAAATATTCAGTCCTCAACCTTTGTATCAAGATAAACTGAAGTCCTACCTTGACCGTGATCTATGACGCCTTCTTGGTCGAGAATGAGATGGAGAACGTGATCGAGATCTTGACCTTGACTTGGACCGAGTTGGGGATCTTTGACGAGTCTTCTCTTTTTCCTTCTCTCTCTCCTTCTTTGAATTACGTTCTGGTGAAGTTTCCTTAGTCTCTGGTGCAGGAGGTTCAGGTTTAGGAACTTTTGGGATATCACTGTTAAAAAAGATTTGATTTTAATAATCTTACTAAGAATATTAAATGGATTCTTTTGCCACTGCAGAAGGACAAGGAGAAGTAGGTACTCCCCAAACCAAGACCCAAACAGGTATCAAGATAATTTATGCTTTTTAAAGGTAAAATACAGTTCTGCACACAAAGCTGTCATACTTACCTGTTTGAAGCTGGCTCTTGAACAACAGTCTCCTTTGGTTTCACAGAGGGTTCTGGCTCAGGAGTCACCTCTTTTTTTTCTGGTGCAGGAGTAGCACTACGGCTCTTGGTTCTGTGGTGAGGGGAGCGAGAATGGCTGCGCTTCCGCTCCCTTCTGAGAGGCGACGACCGCCTTCGAGGGGAAGGAGACCTTGATTTGCGTCTGGGAGAAAGAAGTGCTACTTAATAGCAGAATGAAAGAGTGTACAGGATAACAAACCCTGTGCTATTCAGCAGCCAAGAGCTCTTCTGAATGAGGCAGACTCTCAGTGCTGTTTATAGCAGTCAGATCACATGCAGAACTGCTTTGTACATATTTTCTGCTAGTAACTGGCAGACAAAATATCAAACAAAAAACTCAGGCCCCCAAACCCAAAACAGCCTTTGCATGCAGTTCCTAGTGTAAACAATACCTATGTCAAAGCTGCTCTAGTTTTATGTGCAGTCACTGTTCAGTATACAACAAGCTAGCCCCCAAGAACAGCTAAGTGGAGTCGTCATGTTTCTGTGCCGTGTGCCTCGCTCTGCTGTAGAGGTTCGTTGATGTATTGTGTATTTTCATTACCTTCTTGGACTCTTGGATCTGTCTCTTTTTTCTCTGTTGTCTTTGTCTTCCTTATCTCTCTTCTCCTTGTCTTCATCTTGCTTCTTCATAGAAGCCAGTTTCTCTTGCTCTATCTGTACAACCAAATATCATCACTTAACTCCGAGGCATCATAAAGAGCTTATCAAATATGTATGTCAAACAATGACAACAAAAAAACCATACTGCTTCAGGACTAAGACATGCTGGCTAGACAGAAGAACTCTGCTGAACACAAAATGCTTACTCAATACCAATAGGTGTGCAGCCATAATTCT